AAAAAAAAAAAAAAAAAAAAAATCAAACATCTAAAACAGCAGTTCTGAACCTTTTTCCGTCGACGTACCCCTTGGTCTCAGAGTGAGACTTCACGTTCCCCCTAGGACCAATGTTTCTGGTGCAAGGTTGAGGCATGGAGCAGGAGTAGGATATCTGGTTTCCACGCGCATGCGCGTTTGACAGCAGTAAAACCCCAGCAATTTCAAATCGTCAAGACATTTTTTAGGCCCTTCGACCTGTGTTAGACATTGTATGAAATACATCCCACGTACCCCCGATGAGGCTTGATGTATCCCCTTGGGGTACATGTATCCCCAGTTCAGAACCGCTGATTTAAAACAGCAATTAATTTGATTTCAAAAAATATTTTTGTCCAGATTTACTTGTGTTTGTGTAGTGTATGTAGAGGTGATAGTATAATAGCTTAAAATGAAATCTTACTCTTGTATATTGTGAGGAGGGAGGTGTGGGGGGGAGAATGGCCGGGGTATATGAAGGGGTGTGGGTGTCTTGGTGGTTTGGCAGTGTAAGAGGTGTGCGTGTGGGACTCACCCTACGCGCACACACACACACACACACACACACACACCCCGGGGGTACTGGCATGGCCCCGTGCTCCTTAGTCCAGTGACGTAGCCAGGAGCCACGTGGTGCTGGAGCTGTGTGGGGGCAGGAAGGCAGAGAAATGGCTGGGGTGGGATCGGGTTGGGCTGCAGCATCCTGCTGCCGGCTCCTCCTGTCCCTGGCTTCTGTCAGTTTTGACAGGCAGCCAGGAGCAGATAAATATTCTCTAAATTCACGGGCTGGATAGAAGGACCTGGCAGGCTGGATCTGACTGGTGGGCCACATTTTGCCCACCCCTGGGCTAACAGCTTTTGCCACCAGAGGAGGAAAGGACATCTTCATTAAACAGACAGCAACGTATAAAATAATGTCCCCGCTGAAAAAATATTCGTTGAATCTTCCCAGAACAATTCTAATAGAAAAAGTATTAGGCGTGAGGGGAAGCAGGCAACAAAAGATTTTTGTACACTGCCTTGCTGCTTGAATGCATTTTCTTGATACAGCAGAACCAAGGCAAGATGACTGATAATGTAGAACAAAGCAACACACACTTTCTTCAACAGCAGCCTCAGAAAGACAGTTGCCCTTCTTCACCCTTCCTGCCACCCCCCCCCACCCCCCCCCCAATTTTATGACTTTTGGAATAATGAAAAAAAAGTTCAGACCTTCCTTACCACTCTGAATGACATATGGTATTATTGTTTTTAAAACATAATTCACTGCAAATTACAGAGCTGCATTTTCTTAGCCAACTTCATACTTTAAATGTTTGGTCTCTCCATTATTTTAAGCCCCAGTATCAAACCAAAGCACACATGCACACATGCTCATATAATTTTGAGAAATATTCTCTTTCTTCAACTTGGGCATCCTTCTACCTTTCATGCTCTCCTCAAAGTATTGTGCAAGTATTTCCCCCCTCCATTCTACCTATACATGTCTAACATGAAGGTGAGCACCCAAGCTAGGTAGTAAATGAAACCTGCTTTGTAATCTGCTAAAATGGTGAAGACAAAAGGAGAGAGAAAAAGAGGTGCAATTAGTAATTATGCAGGAGAACTCCCTCCCAGTACTCCTTCAGGACATATGAACTGCTGAGCTGGCAAATGGCAGCAGTTAATTCACAACTGGTAACACCCTCACAACCTGTCTCTGCAGGACTGGGCTACATGCTTCAATGGAAAACTGTCAAAATCATTCACATCCACATCAGGTGCCCTAGAGATTATTTTCACCTTACTAAGATGCTGATCATCTCCACATGGACACTTGTGAGAAGTTTATTTATTGCACACCCCCTCTCGGGCACTGTTTCTGATGGTTTCCAAATGCTGTAATGGCAAACCATGAGTTAGATGCTTATTTGTGACATTAACTTTGCCATGCCAGGCCAACATGCACTAATCTGGTCACTGATTTTGTCCAATGCAATTCAACCATGAGCTGCAAATCAAACCAAGCACAAATCACCTTCTTGTTCTGTTCCTGAGAGTAGACTTAATCTATATTCAGAAAACCTTAATGAAAAACAGAAAAACACACCAGACGGACAGGTAGAGATGGACTGTGGAGCCCATATCCAATGGATTACAGTACAAGCTTCCCAGTTGATCCTGCTAGACAAATCAAACTGAAAAGGGAGACAGATTTAGTCTGCATTCTCTAGGGAACCCTTGATTTCAATAGTTTTACACTGGGAACACATCGACTAGGACAGCAGTTCCTAAAATGCACCTACAGGCCACCTACAGCCTGCAAAGGGATTTTTTGATGGTGGCCAAACCCAGCAGAACCAGCCAATCAGTGAGGCTGTAGCCATTGCCAGTTCTGTAGCAACTAACTGAAGCCCTTAGTAGCAGCCTGGCAATTTTTCCCAGCTACTTTGAGAAGTGAAGCATATTATGTTACATCTATTGAACATAAAAAGGTATTGACCTGCAGATTCATTTTTTTTATGAAATCCCCAACATGATGGTCCATTTATCAAGTGGCCCTTCATGAATAAAACTTTGGGAACCCCTGCACTAAGAAATGGATTAAGAACATCTTAAAGCAGACTGGTAAAAACCCTCCACATGATCATTAGGATCCAAAACCAAATGGTAAGGTGGAAGTGAAAGACTCCCTAATTCAACTAAGGATCTCATAAACCACCTTCACTCTTTTTCTAAATATTAACACACAACTTCCTGAATAAACACAATTTTAAGTGCCAAATCCTTGTACTTGAAATCTCTACTCAAGATGGTAGAAAAAAAAGCAAATGGCAGTAGTATCTGAGGCCTGGAACTTTTCCGTCAATGGTAATTTTGTCCATACTCCTAAGCCCCCTTACTGCTACAAGGGAGCAACTAACTGTCTGCATATTGCAGTGGACAGGAAGCCTTCTTAGGCAGTATTCTGTTTATAATTTGGCTCCACATGCAAACCAAGGGCTGACCGTGCTTCACCCCGAATTTACAGATAAATGCATACGTCACCCTCACCAGACTACAGCGCATACAACATAACTCCCTCCAACTCTCTTTATAATGGGTTTGAATAAATAAAACCAGAATGTCTCTTCCCAGCTTTACTCAACTACCATTCAATGGTAGCAAAGAAGAACTAGAAAACATTTTCTACTAAGACCCAAGGTAGCGGAAAAAGCTGAACCTATCAGGTCTGACAATTGATTCATTTTGACTTGGCTCCTCACAGAAAACTGCATCTCCCACAGGATCACATATGCAGCCTCACATGAGCCGCAAACTAACTTGTAATTATAGGGCAGTTTAAATTATAATAAGATTTAAAAGCAAACACCTTCACAGGAAGGGAATCCTAAGATACACAGACAGCTGGCCCAGATGTTTTCATTTTGATGTTAAAGGACTCGTGTTATTTTCTGCCAACAGAAGAAAAACATCTGGGACTCGAATGGAAAAAAAAAAAAAAAGCACTAAATGGCCACAGAGGAACAGGCACACGAATGCTGCTCTCGATTAGGTGGTTTTAAGCACTCAAAATTCACCAGCTGGGATCTAACTTTAGAAAACAGAGTTCTACAAGGTTCCCGCTTGGCCAAGTTTATTTTTCCATTTAAAATTTACAAGTTAAATGGAAGTTAAATTGTAGATTTCTAGTTAATGAAGGAGAAAAAAATAATTCAATAGATTTTTTTTTCCAACCAACCAAAAGGAAAAGTGACCTTCCTTGTTTAAACAAAGGAAGAATCTCTCTCCACAAGTTCTCATGAGCGGTCTGAAGTCACTGCTTCCTTCTTGAGCACTGCTCAGTTCCTCTGCAGACGTGTGAGGGATTTGTTTAGTTTCATGCGAACAGTTAGGGGAGGAGGGGATCAGAGAAGAGGAGGGCTAGAAAGGACCTCCATCTAGTCCAACCTCCTACTCAAAGCAGGACTATCCCAGACTAAACCATCCCAGTCAAGTGTCCATCTAACCTGCTCTTAAAAACGCCCAAGGATGGGGATTCTAAAGCCTCTCTGGATAGCCTGTTTCCAATGCTTAACTTTCTCACCGTGCCAAAAGTTCTTCCTATTAGACAATCTAAATTTCCCTTACTGCAATTTAATACTTTTTGTTCTTCATCCTATTCCTTGCAGCCATAGAGAAAACATCAAACTAACAGCTTGTCCTACGGCAAGCATGACAGCATTGTATGAATCAACGTGCAGCCCCCAAGCAAACAGGCAATGTTGTTTAAGCATGACCACAAAAAAAAGAATCACCAAATATATCTGGTTACTCATAGATTTGGACTAAAAATCTACCCATCAGCAGTTTTTAAGCAGCATTTGGAATTCCCTTATGGAGACAGAGCCATGGCTGCTCGGGTGGGGAAATGCATCTCTGATTGATGTTAGTTTTACAGGTGCTTGCAGATGGTTAATGTGCTCCTATTGCCCAAGCACAGAAGTTTGACTTGATTCCAGCTGTACTGTCCTGCTTTCCTGGGGTGCAAGAAGCTACAGAAGAGCTAGATTTCTTCTTGTATGATCACTCCCAGTAATGTATACTGCAAATTCCTAACTTGGAGTTGGGGAGCAGGAGCGAGGGGAGCAGGGTGCACGT